GGCGTCCCGCCCGGTCTCGCCGTGCTCTCGGCAGTTCGGTGACCCACTGGCGTCCCCAGGCCACGTGTTCTTCGTGCCGGGGAAGTTGACGCTGTCTGAAGCCCACGCGGCGTGCCGGCGGCGCGGGGCGGCGGTGGCCAAGGTCGGGCACCTCTACGCCGCATGGAAGTTCTCGGGCATGGACCAGTGCGACGGCGGCTGGCTGGCGGACGGCAGCGTGCGCTTCCCCATCACCACGCCGCGGCCGCGCTGTGGGGGCCTCCCTGATCCCGGGGTGCGCAGCTTCGGCTTCCCCAGACCCCAGCAGGCGGCCTACGGGACCTACTGCTACGCCGAGAAGTAGGGGCCCACTGCACCCCCTCCAGCACGCGTGACAAAGTTTGGGAGTCGTGACGGGGGTCTCTCGCCGACCTTCTGCAAGCCTTCTTCCAGACGAGGAGCAGCCCCTCCAGACCTGCCCTCCCAGCCAGGGGCTGCGGGTCACGGACCCCGGCTGGCGCGGCGTCTGGGACGCGAGGTGGCAGCAACACCCCCCACACACACCCCCGGCTGCAAGGCGCAGATATGACTTTCAGACCCGCGGATCGTGGACCCGAGGCGTTTTGGGTCCTCCCGGCAGAGATTGCAGCCACTGCTAGGGGACAGAGGGGAAAGCCTGGGAGCATTAACTGACCTCTGTGTACAACAATAAAATAACTTGGGGACCTTCTGTGTTGGGTGGAGCTGTAAGCGTTGCGAGGTGTGGGGGTATGTGTGTGAGGGGCGACCTTGGACCAAGCAAGAAGACGGGGTAAGAGGCGGGCCAGCAGCAGAGGGGGACTACGTCCACCACTGGGCAGGAGGGGAGAGAGTCGGCCGGGACCCGGACCCAGGCTGTTGTTGCTCCAGACGCCACGCGGGGGCGCCGCACCCTCACCTAAGACCACTCTAGTTCGAACCGACAGGAGCGCTCCAGACCCGCGGCCTGCCCTCTGGGCCTCAGAACAAACGTCAGATGAACCTGAACATGTTTCAAAATGTCTTTGTATCCTGCGCTCTTCTAGAAGCTTTCACCGGCAGTACAATGGTACTAAAGATAGGAAAATCATAGCATTGTTAGAAATGACAGGAAGAACCAGTCAACAACCCAATGGTTAAGATGATTGGATCCCACATGGACAAATGCGTTGTTCCAGTCGCGGACCTGGAGGCTTGAGAAATACGCTGAGCACGTGAGTGCGCGTGCCCAAAATCTCCAGAGGAGAATGGAAAGTATTGCAGCGTACAATCTCCCCCCACTAGGAGGCACAATTTTTAAAATTATTTTATTTAACTTTTATTTATTTATTATCAGTTTGATCAGAGAGGGACAGAGCGATTAAGAGAGACAGAGAGAGAAAGCAATCCGCCAGCTCAGAGACTCAGTCGGCAGTTGGCCATGTGAGAGCCCAGCACCTTTAACCACCACGCCACCGGCTGGCCCTGAGAGGACACTTTCTTCCTGCTTCTCTCAGGCAACCTTACCAGTGCTGTGGCCAAGAAAAAGACAGGAATTTTTTTAAAAAAAGAATTATTTAACTTTGGGACCCGCAGTTAGCATAATGGCTATGTCGCGGGACTCCCACGTAGTTGACCGCGGTTCGCGTCCCGGACCCGGTGGCTTAAAACCAAAGTTGACCAGATCTACAACAGAAACTGTATTGGCCTGCAAGCCCAAAATATTTATTGTCTGGCTTTCATGAAAAAAAAAAAAATGATGACCTCCTGAAGAGGATCAAGTAGTTATTTATATTTTGTTTGTTTGTTTGTTTGTTTTTTGTCTGGGTACTAGCAGATGGCATACTGGTTACCCTGCTGCACTCCTGCGTGGTTGACCACAGTTTGAGTCCTGGCCCCAGTGTCTCAAAACTCATGCTGGGCACAAATGCGTGTGTGCCCAAAATCCCAAGAGGAGCGTGGAAGAGAAGGGATTGCAGTGTGGTCATCCCCCCTGGGGGGTGATGTCTCACTTTCTGTCCCCCCTGGGGGGTGATTTCTCACTTTCTGTCTCTCTGTCTTTCTTTGTCTCTCTGGCAAGCACATGTGCCCTATTTCAAAAATCTCTCTAGAATAATAATTACAATAGTAAAGCAGCAATAATTACTAAGTACTATTATCAGTTGTTTACTAGGCAGCCTGTGGGATTGGTTGCTGTATAGCAGTGTAATGTATCAGTCAGGATCAGCTAGATTCTGCTGTGATAACAAACAACTCCCAAATCTCAGTGGCTGAAAGTGATAAAGGTTTATTTCTCATTCAGGCTGCATGGGCAATACGGTCAACAAGGGGGCTTTTATCATTTTGGTCATACAGGCTGACAAAAAGGCCACCATTTCAAATGCTATCAAGCACCAAACCAGAAGAAAAAATGAAAGGAGCTCTGGAGGGTCTTACACAGGCAGTTAAGAGCACCCGCCCAGAACTGGCACCTATTCTTTGGGTTCACAACTCATTCTCTGCATTCAATCACGAAACCCCACCCAACCTCAAGGGGGCAGGAAAGAGCAATTCTACTTTGGCCTGGAAGTGGGAGAACTGGAAGTATTTGATGAGTGGCACCAGCCCCATCTACCAGAGCACTAAGGAGGGCAGCCTAGACTGTGGGACATATTGGTAGTCATCTACCCACCCACCCCTCTTCTGGATTTTCTAGGTTCTGGCCTTTACTGAAGTCAGAGCCCCAGTAAGCCAAGGTCCTAGCCCCAGCTGCTCAGCAGGTGGGAAGATGGCTATTCTTTATTGCAAGGCCTTCAGCCTCTACCAAGACACCATGCAAGAAATGGCCGTGGGAGAATCTTTCTTTCCATATGCTGCAAAACTCCGTTTCATAACCCAGAAAAGCACAATGTCACCAATTCTTACACTATTCTGTGCATTGCTATTACCATTCATTTATTATTGTTATTATTAATTATTCTGGAGAACTTCAAATGTACATCAAAGTAGAGAGAATAGTCTGACGGACCACTCTATCGTCCAACTTAAACATTATCAAAGTTTTGCCCGTCTTGTTTCCTGAATCCCCTCTCTTGAGCTTGTTTTTTTGTTTTTTTGTTTGTTTGTTTTTAGGTTGTTGCCATAGGGCATGTGTGCTCGCCAGAGACAGAGAGAGGGAAAAAGAAATCACCCCCCGAGGAGATGGCCACACCACAATCCTTTCTCCTCTAGCCTTCTCTCAGGATTTTGGGCATGCATGCACAGGTGCCCAGCGTGATTTCCAAGTCACCAGGTCCAGAACTTGAGCCATGGTTGGCCATGTGGAATCTAGCGCCTTAACCTCCACATCACCTGCTGGCCCTCTATTGACTTTTTTTTTTTTTTAGAATTATTTAATTTTACTTATCATTATTATTATTATTTTTAAATTTGCTGCAGGGCACACATGTTCACCAGAAAGAGACACACACAGAGAGAAAGCAAGCTGCAAGGTCCAGGACTCAAACTGTGGTCAGCCATGTGGGGGTCCAGCACCTTAACTACCATACCGCCTGCTGGCCCTGCTTGGCTTTCTGTCTAATGGTACTGATGACCTAGAGCCACTATTTCATTAGGAATTGCAAAATGGAGATTTTAGTGCTGCTTCCTCCTGAAGGAACATCCTTCTGTAAGCTTCGCTTTTCCCCCTGCAGGCTGGCAGAGGGCAGGGAGCAGCCGACGCACAGAACTACCGTTCATGCCTGGCTAAACACTGGTGATTTGATACATCCTGGGCACTTCACACTCATGAAGTAGGCATTTGGGCTCTGCTCCAGGCGCTGCTTCTTGTGTTCCTCTTCTCCTCTTCCAGGGAGGGGTGAAGGAGGTCCTTTGCGAGATGTCCTGGTGGGGCGGTTGTCCCCGCCGAAAAGGCCAGTAGTTACTTTTTAAGATTCTTTTTCTTTTTTCTTTTGCCAGAGTGCACGTGTGCTTGCTGGGGAGAGAGAGAGAAAGTAAGAAAGCACCTGCTCCGTGGGGGAAGGCCGTTCCGAAACCCCTTCTTCTCCATTTCTCTTTTGGGGTTTCGGGAACATGCACACACACACCCACTGTGTTCCTCAAGCCACCAGGTGGGGCAAAGATGGGAGGGTATTATTCGTTAGTTCCCTGTCCTGGGGTGTTCCTGGCTTACCCTGAGCACACACATGCTCCTACAGCCAGAACAAAAGCCCAGAGGCAGAGTCGCAGCTGTTCAGAAGAAGCCTTGTCCTTGAAGGCGAGTGCTGAAGGATGTGGGTCACAGCTACTGCCCGGCCTCTCCCTGCTCAGCTCCGTCAGGGCCTCGTGGGGCAAGTTCCCTGATGCTTCGAGGGGTGACTGGTAGCAACTTGCAGTTCTTTCTTTGTTCTTCTTTTAGAGATTTTTTTTTTTGGGGGGGGGAGGTTTTTGCTATAGGGCGCATGCACTCGCCGGACAGACAGAGACAGAGAGACAGAAAGTGAGAAATCACCCCCCAGGGGGGATGGCCACACCGCAATCCCTTCTCCTCCATTCTCCTCTCGGGATCTTGGGCACGCACGCACACGCGCTGGGTGTGAGTTTTAAAAGCCACCAGGTCCGGGACACGAACCGCGGTCAACTACGTGGGAGTCCAGCGACATAGCCATTACGCTAACTGCTGGTCCCCTTCTTTTAGAGATTTTTGCCTTAGGACCTGTGCATTCACAAGGACTGAGAGACAGTGAGAGGGAAAGTGAGGAATCGCCATGGGGGGCCGTGGGGGAATGGCCATGCCGAAATCCTGTCTCCTCCATTCTCCTCCTGGGATCTTGAGCATGCACGCACACACACCTGATGTGAGTTTCAATCCACCAGATCCAGGACTCCAGTCAGTGAAAATACAAATTAAAAAAACAAAATTTGCCTTTTACATCCAGACTTTGTATTAAAATTTCCTTATATACATTCTAAACTATAGAAAAACTTGTTTTTGTTTTTGTTTTTGTGTTTTGAGAGGATTTTGCTATAGGGCATGTGTGCTCCCCAGAAAGACAGAGACAGAGAGACAGCAAGAAATCACCCTCCAGGGGGATGGCCACACTGCAATCCCTTCTCCATTCTCCTCTCAGGATTTTGGGCGCGCACATACGTCCACTCAGCCTGAGTTTTAAGTCACTGGACTCAAACCAAGGTTGACTGAGTGGGAGTCCAGTGACATAGCCATTACGCCATCTACTGGTTCCCCCTCACCCCAGTTTCTAGTTCATTTTATTTATTTATTTTTGTAGAGGTTTTTGCTTTAGGGTGCATGCATTCACTTAGAGAGAGACAGAGACAGTGAGAGGGAAAGTGAGAAATCACCCCCCAGGGGGGATGGCCGTGCCCCAATCCCGCCTCTCCATTCTTCTCCCGGGATCTTGAGCGCACAGGTGGGCTGGGACAAACCACTGCAACCACTGCTGCCGTTGGTTCAGAGACTGTAATGGACAGTCCCCATTTCTCTCCCTTACAAGTCGTCCTGTTGATCTATGGCGCTTTCTCAATGGAAAATCCCAACCCCCAACCCTGAAGGTGTCACCCTTTCATTCTCCTGCCCTTGACAGGCCACCACTGCTGCAATGCCTGCTCCTGGGGTAATCAAGATCAAATATCTCTGCCAGTATTCTTCCTTTCTCTGCCTGTGGTGGATGGGCGGGGATGAGGCTGCCGTAGCCGTAGTTTCAACGGCGCCTTCACTGTGACCTCTGGCAGGTGCATCCTCCGCCCAGGACCTGC